GCAATCATTCCAGACCATAAGAGGAAGGCAAAGGGCACCAGGGAAAGGTCTCCAGGGAAAAAAAATCAAAGTAACAGATAGAGGTCGAGCTTTCGGAAAATAATGTAAATAGATGTGCCAGATCAGATGGCGTATTGGGGGAAAAACTAAGGTAAAGTACATAGAAAAATAAGCAACGAAGAGGTTATTAACTACAGGAAAAACAGAAAACTGCTCAACAAAGAAAATATAATGATGGTACGCTTCTTGGCTCTGTAGTGGATATTTATATAGCCGTAGTTATGTATACATGATTGATTTAACAAAAACTGATTATTACTATATGGAGATGATGAAATGGGAAGGATGGGGTGGGTGTAAAATACCTAAGTCTTTATCTCTCATACAAGAAAATAGACAATGGGTAAACTCGGCAAACCAAGAAGTATAAGCATAGTATTTAGACACGAATACCAATGACTTGAACAAAGAATAGAAAAAATAAAGGATGGGAAGATTATTTTTTATTCTAAGTCTTGATTACTTGATTTTTAAAAAGCCTAATACAAATACATGCACTAATACAAATAAAAAAATAATTTAAAAATATTGTTTTAACTTATAAAGTCTGTGTTAACTCCAGGTTAACTTAATAGTGTAAATTACATTGCAGAATTATAGTTGAAGAGTTTTCTGTTTCTGCTTTCCCATTTCTTGGTATACTAAGCAATTCCGGACTATACCCTTTACATTTTTAATACTATCGCTAAACTCTGGGTTTTGTCTAAATCCTATGGAGAATATTGAGCTTTACTTTGATTCAGCAGGCAACCTGGTTAGGTTCAGGCCTTAAATACCAACCTGCCCTCTGTGGACTGTGATTCCAACGTCAGCCCCTTTTCTTTGTCAGAGTCCCTCCCTCTCTGTGACCATTTCAATACACTCTGGTTCCTTCTATTAGTTCTCTGTCGAGAAGGCTGAGACTTTAGTTACTCTGTGCTTCTACCACTGTGCCTATGTCCAGGACCATGCAGATGGAAGACAGACAGAAAAAAAGGAATGGCGGGTTGGCCCAGAGCATGGTGGTTAAGCACTGTGCATGGGGAGCCAGATTTCATAGGGCTGATAGCAAATCCTGGCCCGGTGGTTTGAAAAACACACCAGGGCCTGTGTGCACATGCTCAAACTCCTCATGGGAAACAAAGAGAGAGAAAAAAGGACTGTGGTGTGACCACACTTCACTGAGGGGATGCTTCTCGCTCTCAAGTGAGTACATGTGCCCTCTGGCAATTTAAAAAAGACAAAAAAGCAACCACAGGGATCAGCAGGTGGCGTGGTGGTTGAGGCACTGGACATTCTCACATGGCCAACCACGGTTCGAGTCTCAGATCTGGTGGCTTGCTTTCTCACTTTCTCTCTCTCTCTCTCTCTGTGTCTCTGATCAAATTAAAATAAATGAATGAATAAATAAAAATTAAGTAAAAATAATTCTTAAGAAAAAAGCAACCTCTTGGAGCTGCAGCTCTACTAGAGAGAGGGTCCTCTCCATCACTGCTTGACTCCTGAAGGTTCCCCTGTCAGCAGCTGATACTGGCCATCACCATGGGACTGTCTGGGTACAGTGGGAATAAGAGAACATATAAGAGAAAATGAAACGAAAGAGTTTCCACACTCTATTAATAAAGTTTAGGGTTTTAGGTTTCAGAATTTCAGTCTCATAGCACAGTGGTTAAGGGAGCTACTGGGTTGTCAGAAAAATTATGACATATTTTTCTATGTGAAAATGCATCATGACTTTTCTGATGATGTAACAGATCCCACATGTTCAAATTCCACCCCCTGTGGCTTGAGAAACATGCCAGGTGTGTATGTGTATACCCGAAATCCTGATGGGAAGAAGGAATGTAGGAAAAAGACTGGAGCGTGACCACACCTCACCGATACTCGCTTTCTCTCACTGGTGAGGCCACACATCCTCTGGCAATAAAATAAGTATTAGACTTTGTCTTTGTACTCCTTGAACCAAACACAGAGGACTTCGGGTTCTCTGCATCGTAGCATTCACTTCCAGGTTTCCAACATGTTGAGTTTAGGCTAATGGATACAAGAGGGGAAACAGAAGACTCACTCATCCCAGGTTCAGTGGTACTTCCTTCAGGATAACAAGTTGGCAGGCTACCTAATCCCTGACAGGCAATATAGAACAAACGTAGCCTAAGAGCAAAGTCTTATGTGGGTCTTTCTAAGAGAAGAAGAGAAGAAAATGATTTGAATTGCCAACGGTATCAAAATTCTCAATGACTACAATGACTATCTGGATTACTTTAGAGTTAATGGCATTTGATCAATTATATCACAAATGCTTTACTAAAAATAAATTCACGAAGTGTGATTATAGCACCCAGAAATACTTACTGATAATAAGGAGACTTAATACTTTCACTATCAACTAGTTATCTTAATTAGCCGTTTTATTTTGTGCAGGCACAAACACAAGTTTTAGGTTCAAGAATTCCAGCCTCCTCCTACATAAGCACATTCCGTGGAAGTAATTTTGTTTTGCTTATTAACTCCTCAAAATTTCATTCACTAACAGAACAGCTCAGCAGAAAAGTCAGCCATTACCTATAAACAGTTCTCAATTAAAACTATGAGAAAACTTAAGAACTGGTTACTTACACCCTCCTTTCCTTTCAAAAACAGTTACCACAACAATAACAGTAACAATAGCTATAAAGTATTGAGCTTCTTTATATTCTAGGCAGTGTTAAAAGCTTAAACGCATCATGCCATTGAATCCTGGTAATGTCCTACGAAGCAGGTGCTACTGCTAGCCCCGTTTCCACAGAAGCAAATGAGGCTTAGGGAAGTATCTTATTTGAGACCACAGGTTAGGAAACAGTGGAGCCAACTGCACTCAGGCAATCTGACTTGGAACTCCGGCTCCGATTCACTCGGTTATAAGCCGTAAGGACTCAGTTTCTCACTTCTAGGCCATCTCTATGAAGTAGTGTTGAATGTGGAAGATGTTAATGAGGAAGGAAATAAAAGGCCAGTACCCACAACCAAGTGACTTCACTGATTCTGCAGGGAAAAAATCCAAAATTATATACTATTTATGTTAATTATTTAGTTCAAGAAAACATCCTTGTTGTCAACATATAGCTCAGAAAAAAGTTCTATAATAAAAAGTACTGAGAAGCAAAATAACAAGTGAAAATCAACTTTCAGTAGCACTAGGCTCACTTTAGACTAAATGAGTATGGTATATCCCAGCCAAGAAATCAATAATCCTCAGAAAGTTAAAAACTTCAACAGAAACAGTATACATTTAAGTAACATTCTATTTACCGACCTCTCTGAAACATACCAAAATTCACATGGCTAATGGAACTTTCTGTGCTAAAATAGGGCAAATTTCTACAAAAAAGTTTAACATAATGCCACATTGCACTCTTGAGAAATCAAGTGAAGTATATCTAGGTGGTAAAATTCAGGTTACAAATATGAGATAAACATCAAGTAATGTCATACCTAGGGCTTACTGGAAAACATAATAGTTGTGACTGTCATGCTTGCCACTTTGGTTAAGTCCAGAGATAAAACGGGTGAGAGTGCCGTGGAGGTGTGCAAACACCGCACAGCTCAAATGACTTTAGCCCTTCTGAGGAACTAAAAATGAGATGTATGTATCAACAGTATGTACTTCTGTGATAAGGAAGCTTCAGTTCATGCACTGATAAAACTGCTGTTGTTTTTGATCACTGAAAATCAGATTCAAAATACATTCTTATTCAACAAATTGATGAGACTACAAATCTTACATTCCCAAATAAGAGTTTAAATCTGAAAAGTTTAAGATAGTACACGTGTTATTAATAATTACCTTTAGATATAATCGACACTATACTACTATATGAATCAGGTATGCTATTGCGCCGTCAATTCTAGTTACCATATTTTACATTTATTGGTTATCAACAGCACAAATTTTATGCTCCAAAAGAAATATATAATCCAGCAAAATGGTTACATTTAATTTTCTTTTAAAGACAAATGAGCTAATTTTAAAGAAGAACTGGCATTTCTTGATATCTTCAAATTAATGATACAAATTTACCAGAGAAGTAATTACATATGTTGCTCACCATCAAATAATCTGAAAAATGTTTCCACGATAGATGCATTTCTTGTCCAATTTCTAAAAATAAATACTTTCTAACTGAAAGCATGTACAGTTCTAGCTCTCTAAAGTAAACATGAGAAAGTACAAAAACTGATCTCTTGGCTTCTCAATAGCCCACTCAGTTACATAAAGTATTTTCTGTCCCAATGCTTTCTTAAATTCAAAAGATATTTACTTCCGCAGAACATAACAGAGTCTTCATTTCAAACCATTCAGTCCGATTCCATGGCAACACTGCGGGATTCCTTGGCTACCATAAGTCGCATTAGTTGACTGTGGAATTTCTCAATCTTCTTTACATCTTGCGCTTGGTCTGTTCTATACATCAAACACTGTTAGAAATTTTAAAAGTACATATTAACTATGTAAAACTAAATACTGACAATGTAGAAAACAGATAATTGGATAAAATTTTGAGTCTCTTCTAACACTGTTTTGTCCTACTCCCTGGAGGTCATACAAAGGAAACTACACGGAAGTTTCAAGGCCTCCAGCTTACATTTCTTAAGTACAGTAATTCAAATGCCACTTCTGTGAATGAAAAACTAAATGAACTCTATCAGAAGTTTCTCAGAAATGACCACTTAAGTAATATGTTAAAACATGCTGTGGTCTGAGTTAAGGGGAACTCAGGGTTTAGAACTAGATATTTAAAAAAAAAAAGAAAAAAGAAAAAATGAGGTATTTCCTTCCTGGGATCTAGTCCTAAGTAACTGAGGTATGCTGGAAGAAAGTACAGAAATATTAGGATCCTGTTTCCTACTTGTGAAATTGAGGGTTTAATAACAATTAACGAAAAATAAAACAACCTAGAATTCTTTCTCTTATTGCTTGACATGAATCCGTAACTATGTTTAATCGTTATCAGAGGCAAAAACCATCAGTTTGGGTCAGCCAGTGGCAACTGGATCCCATATGGCTGACTGCGTGGTTCAAGTCCCAGACCTGGAAGCTTGAAAACATGGCAGGTGAGCAGGCATGCCCCAAACTAAGATAGTACACGTGTTATTAATAATTACCTTTAGATATAATCGACACTATACTACTATATGAATCAGGTATGCTATTGCGCAGTCAATTCTAGTTACCATATTTTACATTTATTGGTTATCAACAGCACAAATTTTATGCTCCAAAAGAAATATATAATCCAGCAAAATGGTTACATTTAATTTTCTTTTAAAGACAAATGAGCTAATTTTAAAGAAGAACTGGCATTTCTTGATATCTTCAAATTAATGATACAAATTTACCAGAGAAGTAATTACATATGTTGCTCAACATCAAATAATCTGAAAAATGTTTCCAAGATAGATGCATTTCTTGTCCAATTTCTAAAAATAAATACTTTCTAACTGAAAGCATGTACAGTTCTAGCTCTCTAAAGTAAACATGAGAAAGTACAAAAACTGATCTCTTGGCTTCTCAATAGCCCACTCAGTTACATAAAGTATTTTCTGTCCCAACGCTTTCTTAAATTCAAAAGATATTTACTTCCGCAGAACATAACAGAGTCTTCATTTCAAACCATTCAGTCCGATTCCATGGCAACACTGCGGGATTCCTTGGCTACCATAAGTCGCATTAGTTGACTGTGGAATTTCTCAATCTTCTTTACATCTTGCGCTTGGTCTGTTCTATACATCAAACACTGTTAGAAATTTTAAAAGTACATATTAACTATGTAAAACTAAATACTGACAATGTAGAAAACAGATAATTGGATAAAATTTTGAGTCTCTTCTAACACTGTTTTGTCCTACTCCCTGGAGGTCATACAAAGGAAACTACACGGAAGTTTCAAGGCCTCCAGCTTACATTTCTTAAGTACAGTAATTCAAATGCCACTTCTGTGAATGAAAAACTAAATGAACTCTATCAGAAGTTTCTCAGAAATGACCACTTAAGTAATATGTTAAAACATGCTGTGGTCTGAGTTAAGGGGAACTCAGGGTTTAGAACTAGATATTTAAAAAAAAAAAGAAAAAAGAAAAAATGAGGTATTTCCTTCCTGGGATCTAGTCCTAAGTAACTGAGGTATGCTGGAAGAAAGTACAGAAATATTAGGATCCTGTTTCCTACTTGTGAAATTGAGGGTTTAATAACAATTAACGAAAAATAAAACAACCTAGAATTCTTTCTCTTATTGCTTGACATGAATCCGTAACTATGTTTAATCGTTATCAGAGGCAAAAACCATCAGTTTGGGTCAGCCAGTGGCAACTGGATCCCATATGGCTGACTGCGTGGTTCAAGTCCCAGACCTGGAAGCTTGAAAACATGGCAGGTGAGCAGGCATGCCCCAAACCCCAGGAGTGGGAAGGAGAAGGGTCTGTGGTGTGGCCATCCTCCCTGGGGAGTGCTTTCTCACTTTTTTCTCTCTCTGTCTCTTTTTCTCCCCCTGAAAAACACATGTGCCCTATAATGAATTAAAAAAGTAAAAATCAAAAAGAAGCCATCAGTTAGAAATAAAATCTTTTATATTGAAATTAATTCTATATTCCCGCCCTTCCCCTCCAATTTCTTTTTCTTTTTCTTTTTTTTTTTTTTTTTTAATAGATTTTTGGTATAGGTGTGTGAGCTCGCTGGAGAGACAGAAAGGAAGAAATAACCCCATGGGGGGGTGGGGGAGATGGCCACACTGCAATCCCTTCTCCATTCTCCTCTCAGGATTTAGGGCAGTCATGCACCCACTGTGAGTTTTAAGCTACCAAATCTGTGACTCGAAACTCAGTTGACCACGTGCGAGTCCAGTGACACACCCATTATGTCACCTGCTAGTCCCTGCTCCCTTAATTTCTAAAATAGGATATATTGGTTTCTCTTCAGTAACCAGACCTCACCATTATGTGATCATCATAATAAATTTTTTTCTCAATATAGAGTGCTCAAAATTCAAGAACAGATTTATTGAATCTACCAAATGGCAAGCACCAATGCTAAATACTTTCATGTTTTATCTTCCACATCAACCCAATTAGGTAAGTGGACTATGACTTTAGCACTGTAAATATCACCGAGACCAGGAAGGGTCTGGTCTAAATTTTTCCCAAGGCCAAAATGCTAATAAATGGCTATGGTAGGATTTAAACCTCTTGAATTTAATATCTAGAATAGAACACCTCAACTTAGATTCCCTTTTCACTCTTTCAGTTACTTTACCAAATTCACTTGGTTCTTAGAAGACCTGGTAATCATTTAAAAAACCTGAACTCCAATGCAGCCTCACAAAGGAGCACCAAACAGAAATATTATGACAAAATACAAAAAGGAATTATTAAAATTACACACTATATAAAATCTTTAAAAGAATCTACTTTTTAAAATGTTTACTCAGTACCCTTGGGTCAAGACTAGTCACTAAAAATATAAGTAAGAATATTACTGATCTGTCTCTATTATCTTGAAGCTCACAGCCTATTAAAAAGAAATGTGGGGGGACCAGCAGTTGATGTAATGGTTATGTCGCTGGACTCCCATGGAGCCGACCGTGGGTCAAGTTCTGGACCCAGTGACTTAAACTTACGCCAGGCGCGTCTGTGTGCGTGCCCAAGATCCCAAGAGGAGAATGGAGGAGAAGGGATTGCGGCGTGGCCATCCCCCCGGAAGGTGATTTCTTGCTTTCTGTCTCTCTGTCTTTCTGGTGAGCGCACGCGCCCTATAGCAAAAACCTCTCCAAAAATAAAGAAATGTGGGGGACCGGCAGATGGTGTAATGGCTACGTTGCTGGACTCCCATGTAGTCGACTGTGGTTTGAGTCCTGGACTCAGTGGCTTAAAACTCATGTCGAGCAAGTGTGCATACCTGAGAGGAGAATGGAAGAAAAGGGATTGTGGTGTGGCCATTCCCCCAGGGGGTAATTTTTTGCTTTCTGTCTGTGTCTCTCTGGTACACATGCACCCTATAACAAAAATCTCTCAAAAAAAAAGATAAATGTGGTAAAAGATATGTATACAGTACAAAAGAGCCAAAATGCAAAGCAAGAAATGAAGCAATCTCCTGGATTTGAGTTTTGAGAGATAAGCAGCAGCCTAGCCAAATTGGGGGCGGGGGTGGGATTCAACATTGCAAAGGAAGAAACAGAATGTTCAAAAGCACAGAGCCCTAAGACAGCACAGCTTATGGGAGAAAAAAAAAAAAAAAGAAAAAACTCTTAAGTAATACAGAAAAGACAGAGGTTAGAGGGGATGTGAGGGTAGAATTTAAAGGTTTCTAAACTAGGGAGAAGTAATCAAATGTACACTTGAAGAAATCACTCTGGCAGTAGTACAGGATGAACTAAAACAAGAACATAGTTAGGAGACTATTTTAATAGTCCAGGCAAGTGATGCAATCCTAGACGAGAGTAACAGTGAAGATGGAGAGTTTGTGAAATGAATTAAGGATTTTAAATGCACGGCAAAGTACATGTATGGTGAGCAGGGAAACAGCAGAAGTGTTTCAAATGAAGGCACAGTGGAAACGAGAATGACGAAAAAGGAAACAAACAGGATCCCCAGTTCTGACAAGAGATGACAATGGAAGTAAAGGTAGGAACCGAAGGGGTCAGGCTGAGCTAGACGATGAGCTCCACTCCCAACAGGCTTTTAAGGAGTACCTGCGGTGAGGATGCTCAATGGAGAGCTAGTGGGAGAGTCAGAAGAAAAGCATGAGCTAAGCGTACAGAGATGCAAGCAGACAGAGATACAGGGAGTACTGCACTGAGTGCACCTCATGGACTGACCGGCCCCAGAATACATGGTATGAAGAGAACCCAGGACAGAACCCTCAGAAAACACTGATCAGGGCACATAAAAGAAATAACTAGTAAACAATGAAGCAACAGAAACATAGTAAGAGAGCCAAGGTAAAATGAAGCCACAAGTGCTAAAAGAATAATGTCCACAAAAGAGTTTTTGATATCAAAAGTGGCAAGAAGGTACGGTATGGACAGGTAAGACCCCAAGTTTGAAAACAGGGACTGCTGATGAGCTCTCATCAGAGCGGTCTCAGAGGACTGCATGCAGAGTCCAGCTGGCCACGCAGCAGGGAATGAATGCACTGTGAGGACGTAATGGAAGGGAGATCAGGGAAGGAGACAGAGAACAAAGGTCCTAACTGTGTTCAAACACCACTGCATACTCCCCATACACCAAAGAGCAAACCTTTCTTTACTATCTCCATTTTACATTCAGTGTTGATCTCTACATTCCTCTTGATTATAATCTGAAGAGAGAGAGTATTAAACTACATTTAACACAATGCATTAATTAAGGGAGTTAAATTACCTCCTAAAGGAGGACCAGCAGTTGGCGTATTGGCTATGTTGCTGGACTCCCATGTAGTCGACCGTGGTTCAAGCCCTGGACTCAGTGCCTAAACTCACACCGGGCACATGTACGTGTGTGCCCAACATCCTGAGAGAAGAGTGGAGGAGAAGGGATTGCAGCATGGCCATTCACCTTGGGGGGTGATTTCTCGCTTTCTGTCTCTCTGTCTCTCTCTGTCTTTCAGGTGAGCACACCTGCCCTATAGCAAAAACCTCTCAAAAAAAAAAAAAAAAGAAAAGAAAAACCAAAACAAACAAACAAACAAACAAAAAAACCTACCTCCTAAAGGTCTATAAATGTAGCATAGCTTGTTGACATGTAGCTTTTTACAGAATCATTTTACAATGCAGTACAAAATAAGCACCCTAATAGGTAACTGCATGAATGCTGTATAAATGATTTCAAACAAATGATTAGCTTAAACAAATCTGAAAGTATGCAACAAATAAAAATGTATACTTACAACTAAATCATCTGTTACTTTAATACACAAACTCCCATCAGAATGCCTATATTTGAGAACCACACGTGCCTGAAATAAAAATACACATTTAGAAACAGTGAAGACAGATGAAAATTCTCATAAATAATTTAGTCTTTAGGTAGGCTGAAAAGAATTCTTTTAGAATTAACACCCAAACCATCTAAAGTCACCTTCACTGTAAACTTATTACTGAAATGAGGCAAAAACCAGCCATTTTAGTTCACTCCTATTGCTATAATCTTTTTAAAGGTTTGAAAAAAAAGTTGGACATCTTATATGCACCCAGCTTGAAAAGAGATGTATTGAAAATTCCCGGAATACATCCATATTCAGGGAATGTCTGAGTTTATAAGATGGTTTAGATTTGTTGGCCAAAAGAATATATACTAACACACCTAGTCTCATTAGAATGACAGGAAGGTGGGGGGTAAGCAAAATGGCTAGTTTAAAAAGTCCAAATCCCTTCCTTAGGAAACAGAACTATAGCCAGGTTCTTTTTATTTATTTATTTAATTTTAAGAGTTTGTTATAGGGCACGGGCACATGCAAAAAGGACAGAGGGCAAAAGTGAGAGCACACTCCTGGGGGGATGATCACGTTGCAATCCTCTGTCCTTTATTCTCCTCTTGGGACTTTGGGGACCCACGCACAGGCACCCAGCATGTTTTTCAAGCTGCCAGGTCTGTGATTCCAACCACAAAGTCAACCCTGTGGGACCCACGCCAATGGTGGCCCTACTGGCTGTCCCTTGTCAGGTTCTCACTTTCCACTTAAAAAAAAAAAAAAAGAATTGTTTATTTATTTATTTATTTCCATTTGTTATTATTTTTTAGTTTGACCAGAGAGAAACAGAGAAAGGGAGAAAGCAAGCTGCCAGGTCTAGGACTTGAACCACAGTCAGCCATGTGGGAATCCAGTGCCTTTAACCACCACGCCACCTGCCGGTCCCGCCATTTTCCACTTTTATAAAACTCTGAGAAGGTTGATTCTGACAAAGCATTAACAAAAATTACATCTTTATTATAAAGGCACAAGATGCATTATTTCATAAAATAGAATTCTGCCTTGAAAAGTCTCTGGCAACAGCTTTCCAAAAACTAGAATAACTTCTATATTAAGTGCTATGCTACATAACACTTTGTTATTCAGTATTCTAGTTATGCAGCCAAGACATCATTTAGGTATTAGCATATTTCCATAAGACATCTCCCAGGAATGCTTCTAACGTCAATGAACATTTTCTTCTTTTAACAATGCAGACAGCCATTGTGTATTACAACATTTTTTTTTTTTTAGTTTTTTTCCCTGAGGGCATGTGTGCTCATCAGAGGGAGAGCAAGAGAAAATGAGAAATCATCCCCCAGGGAAAATGGTTATGCTGCAATTCCCTTGCCTCCATTTTCTTCTCAGGATTTTGGACACATACCCATACACCCAGCATGGTTTTCAAACTGTTGAGTCCAGGACTCGAACCATTGTCAGCCATGTGGGAGCCTAGTGCCTTAACTTTCACACCAGTTGCTGACCCCTACAGCAGTTTTTTGCTAAACCTGTTTATCTAGGTGTTTTAAAAATTAAGTATCTACATGCTAAAACGGACAAATTTTTTAAAGGGTTACAATGTGTTCTACCAGAAGCTTCAAGATAATTCAGGAAACTTAAATAAAAAGAGCTAAAAGAGATATAACCTACAACTTTTCCCATGACCGTTTTGCAGTCCTGAGATTGCTAAAAAAAAAAAAAATTACACTACTCTTGAGATTTGTCTTGGTGAGGTAAAAAAAGGAACTCACCATGCATGTAAGATGTAAGTGGACAAAAATAATAATTAGGTTAATTATCCTCAAAATACTTGATTGAATTTATTAGTCTAGCAAATTCAATTTTACATATTTTAAAAAATTTAGTTCTCCAGAAACAAAAAGAAATCCAAACTTAGAGATATAGAAAGTGGGTCAGGGACCAGCAGATGGTGTAGTAGTTACATCACAGGACTCCTACATGGTCAAACACAGTTGGAGTCCCAGACCCGGTGGCTTGAAACTCATGCCAGGAGATTGCGTGTGTGTGCCCAAGATCCTGGGAGGAGAATGGAGAAGGGACTGCAGCATGGTCATTCTCCCTGGGGAGGGGTAATTTCTCACTTTCCTTCTCGCCTTGTCTCTGTCTGTCTGTCCTTGCACAGACCCTAGAGCACAAAAACCTCTAAAATAAACAAATAAAATAAGAAAGTGGGTCAGCAAGTGGTGTGGTGGATGAGGCGGCTGGCTCCCACGGGGCTGACTGTGCTGAGTCCTGGACCCTGGGACTTGAAAAACACACTGCCTGTTTGTGTGTGCATGTCCCAAATCCAGAGATAAGAGGAGAAGGGACTACATCATGGCCATCCCCACCTGCAAGGCTGGTTTCTCACCCCTCACCACCCTCACCAGTCTCTCTGGTAAGTGCACATACCCTACAGCAAAAATGACCCAAAAAAAAGTGTATATGCATAAATATATTGGGTCATCAGAAAAGTCATAATTGCATTTTATAGAAAAATACATCATGACTTTTCCGACAACCTAATATATACATGTATAAATACACACATGTAACAAAGCATGACAACTATGGCAGTTTTAGCACCCAGTTAAGAGAATACACACTGGTTTCATTAAGAGAAATGAACATCAAAGGTCTATGATGCTGTAGGAGTCCATTTTGTAACTTAGGGGGTATTCTGGGTCAATATGTTAGATGCCATGATAGAGAAAAAGAAATCAAGATTCTTGGCTTCTTAGGAACTTTGTATTCAGCCAAGGAAAATAACCCAAAACAAGACAGAATGAATGAGCCCTATCAAGAAGCATACAAGTAAAATGTTACAGGGAGAAGAGAAGTAATGAAACTGGGATAAGAGGAAGTATACAAAAGGAGGTGGCATGGGAAACGCATTTCTTCCCTGTTAGGGGAGGAAGGAGAAAGGCTGAAGCAGCATTCTGAACAAAGACACAATGAATTCTGTAGTTTGATGAGACCACAACCGGGGATGGTGTGAATGGAGGGAGACGAGGCCAGAGACTCCGGAGAGTAACTGTGGGCTGGGAGTTGGGGCCCAATCCCATTGTCCATAAGAGTTGGTTTCTAAGCAAGAGACAGAATCCAGTTTTTGTTTTTCAGATAGTGAAGGCAGATGTGAAGGAGGAACTAAAGGGCAGCAGGCCGACTGAGAGGCCGTTACAGAGTCCAGCATGAATACTACCTTCAATTAAAGCAAGGCAGGTGAGAACGGTAGATGGTGGGTAAAATGAACAGGTTAAATGTGGTGGGGAAGGAAGGGAGTTTTGGAAAACAGATGTCAAAGTACTGACCAAACAGAAAGCAATTGGGGTGTAGAGCCCTAGGTTCAGACTTCAGCTAAATCTCTTAAGAGATTTGGCAAATCATTCAATGTACTTGAAACTATTTATTTATCTACCTCGATACATTGCTGTCATTGTTCACATAAATTAGTTATCCCTCAGCATTAAGGTTGGGGGACTGGTTCCAGGACCCCTTGCAGATACCAAAATCTGTGGGCGTTCAAGTCTCTCTTAAAAAAAAAAGGGAGGGGGGGGAACCAGCAGTTAGCGTAATGGCTATGTCGCTGGACTCCCACGTAGTCAACCGCGGTTCGTGTCCCGGACTCGGTGGCTTAAAACCCAGGTCGGGCGCGTGTGCATGCGTGCCCAAGATCCAGAGAAGAGAATGGAGGAGAAGGGATTATGGCGTGACCATCCCCCCTGGGGGGGGGTGATTTCTCGCTTTCTGTCTCTATGTCCTTCTCTGTCTGGTGAGCGCACGCGCCCTATAGTGAAGTGGGCGCACTGCGTTTGTAATTGAAGCCCCAGAAAAAAAAAAAAAAAAAAGAATTAGTTTATCTACATTTATTTATTTATTTATTTTTTAATTCAACCAGAGAGGGACAGAGCAAGAACGGGGCAGGGGTGGGGGGGCGGCAGGGGTTGTAGAAAGCAAGCCACTAGGTTCAGTATTGCGGTTGGCCATGTGGGAACCCAATGCCCTTAACTATCACACCATCTGCCAAACCTCCAAGTTTCTTAAATAAAGTGGGTAATATATGCATATAACCTATGCACACACCACCACTCCATACTTTAAATCATCTCTAGATTACTTTAATACTTAATACATTGTAGGGACCAGCAGTTGGCTTAATGGCTATGTCGCTGGACTCCCATGTAGTGGTTTGAGTCCCGGACCCGGTGGCTTAAACTCATGCTGGGTGCATATGCATGTGTGCCCAAGATCCCGAGAGGATAATGGAGGAGAAGGGGTTGTGGCATGGCCATCCCCCCCTGGGGGGGGGGTGATTTCTTGCTTTCTGTCTGTCTGTCTCTGTCTTTTTGGAGAGCGCATGCGCCCTATAGAAAAAATCTCTCAAAAAAACCCCACACTTAATACATTGTAAATCCTATATAAATAATTGCTATACTACATTGGTTAGACAGTAATGACAAGAAAAAATTCTGAACATCTTCAGTACAGACACAACCATTGTAGGTCTAACTATAATTTTTGGCTGAATCTGTGGTTGGTTGATCTGCAGTTGGTTGACTGTATATATGTACATGTACGTAAATACATACACGTTAAAAGCCCATACCACATATAAATTGTATGTCAAATGCCTGTCACCATAAAAAGTACTCAATATGGCTGTTAAGCAATCTTTCCCTCTGTATTTACTCCCTCTCTATCAAAAACATTGGTCAAAAACGAGTAGAAGGCTATCATTGAGAAACAGGAGTTTTTGGGCCACTAGAATTCTCTGGGTAAAGCACTGAAGGGGTCTCTTCTTTATTCTAGACATGTTTGGTCACAGTGATTCTTTGTAACTACTCTTCTTCACTTTTCCAACCATTACCTCCACATTCTCAAAATATAGTCCCTCAAGATGTAAATATGTAAATATGTATATTCTTTAATGTCTTTTCAGATATTTTTAGTTTGCACTGTGGCTTCTTCTGGGCAAAAGTCTTGCATGATCTCATGGTACATTGCTTAAATTAAGAAACCAATGGCTCTGTGAGCAAGAGAAGCCAACCAAATGAAGCAGACAGAAACCACCAGTGTTACAAACAAAATATTCAGTCTTAAACATCTAATTCACTTAATCATTTATTATCATGTCATTTTATCAGAAACGATGAAACTAAGAATATTTTACAGTTTGTTAACTTATCTAGGTCTTTCTCTAGGTCTAATACTTTTTAAAGTTTTTTCTTTATTCATGATAGAGTACATGTACACATGCAAGAATGAGAGAGTGAGAAAGGAGAAGCGCCCTTCGTAAGACCTGGTCATGCCACGATCCCCTTTCTCCAGCCTGATCTTGGGCATCTTGGGCACTTACATGCATGTCAGGAGTTTTCAGGAAGACATCGGCAGAGATTTGAACCAGAGATTTAAACTGTGGTTGTCATGTAGGCTCCAGCTTCTCTTGAGCAGTCATTATCACTGCACCAATGGAACTGGCCCATAACACTTTTTTTTTTTTTACAGCTCTTTTAGTTATTTATTTATTTATAATTTGACCAGAAAGGGGGGGAGAGAGAGAGAGAGAGAGAGAGGGAGAGAAAGTGAGAAAGCAAGCCGCCAGGCCTGGGACTTGAACTACATTTGGCCTGTGGGAGTCCAGTGCCCTCAACCACTATGCCATCTGCCAGCCCCAATACTATTTTTAATCATAATACCAACATATCTTGCTGAACAGTTTAAACAGACACTCACTGTGAATATGTGGTGTAGGATTTACAGGTTACCTGCCCATTGCATACATTAAAAATGCACTTTAGGTTATTTAATGATAATTAAAAGTCTCCTATAGCAAGCCTCAAGGCCCAGTTTTCTGAGATTTATTGACTGCTTCTAATTTTCTTTCTTCTCCAAGGGTTGTTATTTACAGTACAGCATATCCATAACACCACTCAATAATATCCATTGAGTTGGTCAGAAACGTCCTCACCTTTGTGTCTCCCACAAAACTTAATTAGATTTGGAGTCCAGTCACATGTGAATAGGGAATAGAAAAAAAAAATGACCGAGTTATTCAATGAAGTAGAAAACACAAGAACATCACATATAACCAGGTCTGAGGTCTCCAGTATAAAATTCTTTAAAAAAATGCTTAGCTCTAAAAAGCAGCAGAGCTTTTTTATTTTAAAGAATGATTTTATTTATATTAATTAATTCACTTATTTTTAATTTCACCAGAGAGGGACAGAGTGGGAGAGAGAAAGAGAGAAAGTGAGAAAGCCACTGGAAAGGGACTCAAAAGGAACTCAAACCCTGGTACGCCATGTGGGAGTCTAGCACCCTTAACCGCATCACCTGCATGACCCACAGTAGGGCTTTTAATAAACAAGGAGCTACTTTCAATGATTTTTCTACATGACAATAAAATAAGCAAATCCCACAAAGATGAAAGATCATATCCAGATGTTAAACTCGCATTGCTTGGATTTCTTTGCTTTCCAATAACGAGCGAACTCCTAGTGTCTACTTTCTGTGACATTTGTGAGGGCCATGAATGTACTTAAGGCCTCCATGAGCAAACACTTCTGTGTAAGTGCATTTTTCTAAGTAAAGAGTGTAATCGCTGTCATGTTCATGAAAGGCCATTGACACACACACACAACCCAAAATTAAGCATGGTGAACGCGGGAGGACGGCAGCAGAGGGGTCGCAGAGGACGCCTGGGTTGGGTTCCACATCCAAGGAACGAGCGTCGGGGTACGCACTTGTGATCCCGACCAAACGAAGAGCTGGAGGGTCGTGACGCGTTAACTTCTGTCAAAATACCTTTTTCTTTCTCTTCCTCTCTCGGCCATAGAAAAACAACACTACCATCGGGGTCTAGGTGCTTCTAACAGTTCTTTCGGGAATAGC